ATGTGAACTGATCAGGTTAAAATGGAAATATGCTATGGTTTATTGGAACAATCTTTGGATCTGCAATATAAGATGTTGGGGAATCAGAGCAACACCATTGGCCCTTTGGATATAAGAGTTGTCAATCATGGAACCTTCAGTGTGCTCATGGACCATTACCTTTCTCAAGGAATTTCTTTGAATCAGTACAAGACACCTAAGAGCATTAAGGCTGAAAAGGCCATTGAAACACTGGACTGCAGAGTAGTGGGAAGATTTTACAGCAGAGAAATGCCTAATCAAGTACGGCAGAGAAATGCCTAATTAAGTAATTATAAATACTTTCCAACATTAAATTCAAATAGAAGATGAACAAATATCATCTTTCCTCGATGTAACATAAAAATAAAATAATTAGTTTCGTTCAAGTAATTATGGCGTAATACGAAGAGGCATGAATTAGGTCACTATCTTTAAAATGATTCACGCCCCTATATAGTATTATTTATGTGTTGCTTTCTTAGTTACAACAATCTAATTTTTCGTACATTGTGATCTACTCCAATTTAAACAATTGAAAATAAACAAAAACCAAACCTAAAACCGTTCTTTGCCCATATAAAAATAGTCCAATAATATGTACGTCTCTCTAGTGTATTATTTTCGTAGTAGCAGGCTATTAGTAGAAAAATAGGGGTAATTTCAGAAACCTCCTCTAAGGTTTCTCATAATATCACTCAACTCTCCTGAAATTTCTAAAATTTCACTTACCTCCCCTGTTAGTTTGACAAGACTAAATATTCTTATCAAATGTCACAAATTCGAAATACTACCCTTGCTCTTAATAACTATTTAACCAAAAAGTCAAAACAAAATAAAATTTTTTAACCAAAAAATGTAGATTGGAACAAAAAAAATATTATCTGATAATGATCTATATTTCTCCATATTGAGATCATGGTGGGATAGTACTAGTTAAAATCAACCACTTAGGAGGATTTTGGTGTAATTAACACCTTAAAAACTTTCGTAGATAGTTATATGAAAGTCAAGAAATTTTTTTAGAAATTACATTTCAATACATGATGTTGTTTAAGTTATATTGAAAATTAAAATAATCTCTTCATCTATGTGAATTATTCAAGGTGTAAATTTTGCTTTATTTCAAAACAACTAAAATAAATAGTTTATGTGAAGAAATTTATACGTTATAAAAAGTTAACCTTATTTTATTTTTTATTGTTGTTGTAAACTTCATAAATATGATAACATAAGGGTAGTATTGGAATAAAAGTTTTTATCTTTCTTGCATTTCCTTCAAAGGGACTAAAATGTTATAATAAATGTCAATTTAAGGGAAATAAGTGAGATTTTAAAATTTTCAAGAAAGTTGAGTGATATTACGAAAAACCTCAAGGAAGGTTTCTGAAATTATCCTAGAAAAATATAGTACAAGTATCCCCTCATGAATACGTCAAGTTAGAAAGATTAGTATAAAAAATATAAAAATAATGTATTGTTTAAACCTTTATTTATAAAATTACAAAAAGGGAGTGATGGTTTTAACTCTTTCGATCACTTTTTATTCTCACTTTCCACTCTTCCCAATTACAACTAATGAATACTCACTAAACACCTTTATCATCCGATACATGTAATGTGAGGACTATAATTATACGACTTTATACTGGGGTGCATCCGCTTCTCTTTGTTTCGATGAGTTGCAATTTACAACATATCATTTTTTTTTCCTTACTATATTAAGAGCGCGAGTTGGAGTTGCTACGCGACTGGTTATTCCGGTAATTTTGAGCAGCTTTGAGGACATTTTAGACGGAGTAGGGGAAAATTTTCTAGTTTCTCATATTAATCATCGGATCATGTAGTGCTGCAATCTTGACCGTTCAATTTGTCCAATGTTTGGCCTACATTGGGAGTCGGATGTAAGAAAACACACAAAAGCACCGTATCAATACTTTACCGTAGCTCATTTTCTTCCTCATTTTCCTATAATGCTCTACAACGAAGCGAGTAGTTCGAAAGTTTTAATGAGCTCGGCGTGATAATGCTTGAATTTGACTCGTTAATTTCAATAAACAAGTCAAATTCGAGTCAAAAATATACTCGATTAATTAACGAGCCAAACTAACTTGAATTATTTGTTATTTGAGCAACTCATTTGGGTTCAATAAAAAAAAAAGATATATATGTCATTTCATAAAATTTGTGTGATTAAATTGTAGGATTTGTATGAATATTACCAAAATTGACTATAAAAGCTGTTTGACATTTTGACCTCGAATTCGTGTAAACCCGGCTCGTATGTAATAAACGAGTTAAACTCGAATTCAAATTCGAGTCACAAGTTTCATTCGTCAAATTGATCCCAAGCACACGTCAAGACTCGTCTATTTAGTCGAACGAGCTCGAGTCTGACTTAATAAAGACAGCCGAATTCGAGAATCAAATACTCAACTGGACTCTGCTTGATTAACAATCAACTCATAAATTAACAATTAAATACTTCCCTATCCTGAATCTCCTCTTCCTTTCCAATCAACTCATAAATTTTGCTTTTCACAAAAAAAAAAAAAAAAAGGGACATACGCACATACAAAACATCTTGGGACTTCACCAATTAGGTTGAAAGAATTGGCTTAGTTGAATTTCTTCTCCAAGAATGTCTTGTCCAATGGTACTTGATGCTCTCTCCATCCTGCTATCTCCCTCCATCTAAGAACCTTTCGTTCGCCACTAGTAAACACCCACCACTTAACTTTGGGAGTTTAGGATAGAAAAGAGAAGGCGGGGGGGAAAACTTTAAGTTACGAGAGAAGAGAAGAAAAGAAAAGGAATTGTTATGTTGTTTGGGAGTTTTGAGAATTAATGAAATGATTTTGGATATAAAAATTATTAAATTTTTGTTCAAGACATTTTTAAGGATAAAATAAATATTTTAAAAAACTTTCATAAGTTTTCTCCAACTTTCTCTCCAATTTGGGAGAAAAAATTTTACTTACTATTTATCCTCTTAAATCCTTCAGTTTCTCTCCTATTCTTTCCTAATTAAAACTAACCAACGAAGGAAATGTTCACTTTCTCTTCTTTCCCTTTCTTTTCTCTCCAAATCATCCACTCCCAAACGAACATATAGTAGACACCCACCATCTAAAAACCTTTCGTTCGCCGCTAGTGAACACCCACCACTGAGACCACAAGGATTAGTTTTTGTCCGATTTTCCCATATATTTTATTGCTACTTGAGGGTGTTCAAGTCGAGGTATGTCTTTCAATTTCTTCAAATTTTTGCTCCACTCTTTTTTTCCCCTTTACTTTGTTAAAATTTCTAATGTTTTGACGGTTTGAATGAAAATTTTCATTAACATCCATATTGATTTTTGTATTTGGCAAAATCAGATCAAAATTTGATTATCAGTAATTGCAAGTTTAATTTGTGGTAATAAACAAGTTGTGCACAGTTGTGCAGTTTTTCAGTTAATCTCCTGCCGCCATCGCCATTGTCATAGCTGAATTTCTTCACCAGAAAAGCACGGTGAACTTTTGGTGGTTTTGAAAGGTGAACTTTTCACTCTATTTCTGTTAACTTATTGGTTTTGAATTTATCAATTGGTGGTCATACTTGAAGGTCGCATTGACATGGTTTCAGTTTATACTAGGTTTTGATTGATTTTTTACTATAGCAATTTATAATCCATTTACTATAGCAATGTGGTCACTCCGTTGATATATCTAGACTTGAAGTAGGCACCGCACCGCAGCACTAGATTTTAGTGGGGAGGAAATTTTACTCTTCGTCCCATGACTACCGATTCCCATGCCCTCTAAGAGTATTCAATTATCCACCAAATGACTCCTTTTCACAGCTTTCTATCTCACTGGTTTTAGGAAACTACTTATTCATCTACTTTCTGAAAAGATTTGGAATTTAGAGACCTTATTCACTGCCTGAGGTAGGATTGTTGGTGAGCCGAGCTACTCGTAGCTCGGTCAACAACTCGACTCGACTCCAAATCGAGTCGAGTCGAGTTTCGAGTAACTCGACTCCAAATCGAGTCGAGTATCGAGTCCGATTTTCCGAGCTCGTGGCTCGTCGAGTAGCTCGACGAGCCAGAGTTAATTAAATAAAATATTTATAATTTAAATAATATATATTTATTATAATTATAAAATGACTATTATGGGTATAGGTTATATGAAATTTACAATATTACCTTCTTTATAATAAAATCCTATAATGACAAAAAAGTAATAACATAATTGTAAAAAACACTAAAAAGAAAAAATGTCTAAAAAAAAAAGGAAGAAAAGACTTTCTTCCTTCTCTCAGTTCTCTGTGCCGACTGTGCGACTTTCTTCTCTGTTCGAAGCCTAGCAAAAAAATTCACTTTGCCAATCTACACCCTCACTCCGTTCGTCGCCGACCCCGTTGCTCGCCGCATCTGTGAGACTCCATCGCCATCGCCATCGCCATCGCCTTAACAAGTCCCAAGTCCCAAGTCCCAAATCGAAGCTGCTCTCTGCCTCTCCGGCCTCCGCCAGTCCGCCGCGCTGTACGTCTCCTGTCGGCTGTGTCCTGCCGTGCTGGTTCATCGCTGCCGAGTGTCGAAGACGAAGCACCAAGATCTCACTGGTTCATCGCTGGTTCATCACTGCTCATCTCTGGAGCACTTAGGTAAGTGCTCCTCTGTTTTTGGCTCTGTGTCTCTGGCATTAAAATGGGCCAAGATCGACTAGGAAACTTGTTATCCTGAATTGATAAGGGGACGAAATCTGAGCTTCCAAATGCAAACTCTAACTGTTGTAGTAGTTTAGATTAGGTGTGATATAACATAAGCTTTGTATTTTATACACAAGAAGCTCTCTCCAGTTGTGCAGCCTTTAAAAGTTAAGGCCTTGGGGAAAAATTCCACCTTTTACCCGTTAGAAAGATTGGCCTCATGCTTTTGAATATACATGCCGCATACGTTGATTGAGCTGAATGTCTTGGTTTATGATCATTTTTGGGCTAGTTATTGCTTTAATTTGAGTGAGAATCCGGCAAAATTTTAATGCCCATTTACTGTTCGACAAAATGCTTGATTGAAAGTTTTAGTTGAAGGGTGATTGGTCTGCATTTTTGCACATGAAAAATACTGGCCAAGTCGGCCAGTTCACTTCCTCGCATCTAAGAATTTTTGGTGTGTTGATGTCTTACATTTTTCTGCTCCTTATGCTTCCGGTCGAGTGAATTCGAATTGATGTTATGAGAGGGAGTGTTGTGAGTCTCATTGTTTGTTGGAATGGTTAGAAATTGAAGCCAGATTTCTGGTTGCTGTCTTGCTGAATGGTAATTGATATTTGCTCGTTGGAGAAGATGATCACTTGTCCAAAATTGCAATTTCAGTCCCTCCGTTTTCTTTTTGTTTAGTGATTTGGTCCTGTCTTTTCCTGAGCTTCATATTTGCCTCCAACACCATCATAAGTCCCTTAATTAGGTCCCTGCTTTGTTGCATTTTAATCCCTCAAGTCCCCCTTGTTCACCGTATTGGGAAGTTATGTAACTTTTTTTGTGTTTTTACCTCTATGCTTTTTGTAGGAAGCCAAGACAATCAAACAATTCGACTTGCCAAAGCTTTGAAGATTTATGTTTCTAAATCTAGATTAGCTCATTATTTGGACCTTGTTAATTTATGAGACGTAACTTATTATGTATTGTGGAGTATGTTTATATTTTAAAGCCTTTTTCTTTCATTTGCCGAATGTATGACTATTGTGTGAGCAGGCTGGCCGCTGGTTAATGACATGTTAATGTGTAGGATAAATGTCTAGAAAACTTGTTTTTTGAGTGTGTCGTGTGTGGTATAAGGTTCAGAGGTTTTGCTTGTGGGTTCAATTCTTTTGCTCTTTCCTCTGTTTAAAATGACAGCCTGGAAAGAGCTGTTGCAATTTGCTGTAAAAGGCTCCAGCCTCTGGGATTGCATTTTAATGGTGGTATTGAGGTCATCTTTGCTGGGTCAGGTTAGTGACAAGAGTTTTCAACTTCATTCTTCTATATCCTGTTCAAACACTTGTAATTCTGCTGGACTATGGTCCATTTCTGAACCAGGAACATATTTTTCTGACATGTTCTTGTTTAAAGCAGCTTTCTTTAGTTAGTAATTAGTGATATTTGTGGGGAAAAGGAATTTCTGGATAGATCTTGGCATTGGTTTCTGAATTGAGCTTGTGGTAGTTGGGATATTGTGGCTGTTTGAGATAATTGTTTGTCTCTCAATTTGGTGGCTCAGCTCATGTTTTGCTGAGTTTTGAAATTTTGTGGGGAATTTTGGTTAGTTTGGGTACTTTTGCAGCACACTTAGGAACTATGATCCGAGGAATTAGAATCATCCATATTTTCTGCTCTTGTGGGCACCTACCATTGGTGGGTAATTGCTGAATTTGAAAGTTTCATGTCAAGCAATCCAGCAAGTGGGAATTTCCCTTTTTTCTTCTCTATTCTTCTTTGTGGTGAATCTGATTTTTAGGGGTGTTAAAGATGCTAACTGTGGGAGGTAGAATGTGGAAACTTTTAGTTGTATTTGTATTGATGAATCATGGATTTTATGCCTCATTTACTCCAGCTGATAGCTACTTGCTTGCCTTTGAATCTTCCCAAAACATCACCTTTGATCTGTTTTTTTCGTCAAATCGAGTCAAAAAGCTTGATATCATTACTGTTTTGTGGACTTTATGTTCGATGAAATGTCACAAACGGGAAAAAATAAAGAAAGAAATGGCACAAACAGAAATTTTCCATCATAATAGACTACTTTTGAAGATACATCTAGTTAAGTTGAAATATCTTGGTCCTAGCTGGTCAACAGAATTAATATCATTAGGTAAAAGGCAATGGTTGATTGCAGTAGCTTAATAAGTTGGTGACTGTTTTAGCAGCTGAATCGTTTGTTTTACTGTCACTTGCAGATATTTCACGTTTGCAATTAGAATGTCTGAAGAAGAACAAGAGATAGATAAAACCAACTTCTTAAATGAAGAGGATCCAAAGTCAAATGGGGTGAAGGGAGCTAAATGGAAAAACAAACGGAAGAAGCGATTACAATATGAGGCTAAGAAGGCTGAAAAGCGTGGGATTTGCTATTTGAGCAGGATACCTCCACATATGGATCCTCTAAAACTTAGACAGATCCTCTCTCAGCATGGAGAAATTCAAAGAATTTATCTCACACCTGAAAGTTAGTGACTGTTTTTCTTTTTCGGTTTGCTTGTTCATTAGTAATTCAAATACCTTTTGGTTTGAAAGCAACAAATTGCCACTTGTTATTGTTCTTCTAAATGTGGATTAGTGTAACCATTTAGTTTGATACTAGAACTCATGCTTTGTGATTGCTTTGACAATCTGAAGATTTTGGAGTAGTTTATGGGTGCTGCTTCTTATAACTAAAAATTCACTTTGCAGATCCTGCTGCTAGAGTCCAGCGCAAGCAGGCTGGTGGATTTCGAGGACAAGAATTTTCGGAAGGGTATGGTTGATATATTGAATTTCTTTTCATCAACATTACATACGATGATGTCTGAATCTTGAGTTTAACCAGATATAGCAAGTAAAAGATGAACTATATATAAAATGAATGAGCATACAACTTCTATGCAGATTATGAAAGTTCTGCAACTGATATTGCATGAGTCTGCTGCATACATTTTTTTTCCCTTTTTGAATTTTTCATTACTCCATATGTACAGGTGGGTTGAGTTCACTAAAAAGAGTGTTGCAAAGAGGGTGGCAAGGATGTTAAATGGAGAACAAATAGGTTTGTGTTCTATTACCCTGAAAATTTCGTTTATAAATATCAAATTTCAGCGTATCTACTACATCTAATGGGCATAAATTCCTTTTGTGAATTGAACATACGTTTGTGTAGAATTGGTTGCAACTTGAACACAATCACTTAGATTGCACTAAGTTCTATATTCACCTCAAATTTCTTTCTCGGTACATAGTGAAAATCCTGTGTGATTTTAGTTCATTTCTTTGCTATTTGTTGATGTATAGGTGGGAGGAAAAGGTCAGCATTCTATTATGATCTCTGGAATATCAAATACTTGAGTAAATTCAAATGGGACGATCTTACTGAAGAAATTGGTATTTAACTTATTCTGAACTAACCTTTTTCTTATGTGGTACTTGTGCACATTTATTTGAGTTGGATGTTCCTTTATTGCAGCATACAAGAATGCAATCCGAGAGCAAAAACTGGCATTGGAAATATCTGCTGCTAAAAGAGAGCGAGATTTCTATCTGTCAAAAGTTGATCAATCCATTGCTTTAAGCTCTATAGAAGAGCGCATGAAGAAGGTGAACCATTTCTCTAGCTATAGCATAATTAGGTACTCATAGGGATAGATTGATTACCATTTGCTAATAATATCTTTTAAGAGCATAGTTGATTATGCTATGTGTTTGACAATTCTTTAATGGTAATGAGCTGGTCTTGTGGAAAATAAATTCTCATCAACTCTCTCTTTCCCCCTCCTCTCTCTCTCTCTCTGCCCCCTCCCCTCTTTCGCTCTCTCTCTCTCTCTCTCTATCTATCTTCCCCCCATCTTCTCTCTCTCTGTGGACAGGCATATTCCACACATTCTTGCACATTAACCTGCATGACCTAGTTCTGCTTCTGCATAGTTCTATCTTCAACGTGACTTAAGTGACAGTAAATTACCCAAGAGTAAGGTTTTTAGGTTTTGGAAACACGTGATTAAAAGTTCACTGACTGCTAAAATTTCTTATGTAATTGATATCTTATATAAACTTGAAGGGATTGAAATCCACAATAACACTTGTTTTGCATCTGCAGAAGCAAAAGGTTCAGCAAGAATCAGGAGCAAATTCTGAGATCTCTGATACCCATTTTGGGCCAAAATTAATTCGGCAATTTCCCCAGAAAAAACCAGTTGCAACCAACACTGAAGAAAGCAAGCCTCGATTGTCTAAGGATATCTTGGCTGGAGTAAGTGCCTTATACTTTGAGAGTCTTTCTTGCTTTTTGCTTGATTTCGACCTAACTTTTGCCACATCAACTGCAGATATTTGGTGGTACTTCATAATCCAAGCCAGATGCACGTAGCCAGGGGAAGAGATTTAAAATTTTTGCACGAACTGTAGTTGTTGATTTGCCATTCTTTTAGTTAGTGATCAAGTTCTTCTCAATGGTTAGCAAAACCTTGATATTGCACTGTATTTTACTGCTTTAGTTAACCTATGTTTACGAGGGTGAGTACAAGAATTCCAATTGCCTCTCTTTTGGGTCTGGAAAGTGCGTCATATCTGTAAGGAATTTCATTTTTGTGCTACAGCTGGACAAGTAAGTTGTCTTTATAACACCATATACATTAAGCTGTGATGAATTCTGCAGTTATTACTAGAAATGGACGAGCAGAGTTAATTGTGTATTTTTGGTGCTAGCAGAGTTTAAAGTGTTGAGCTGCTTTGGATTACATGTATCTTCAACGCTTTTACTCTCCCACCAGAGCTAGAGCCCAACTTAATTCAGAGCAAACGTGCTCCTGTTACCCTTCGACGCATGGCACGTGCTTCATCACTGATAGCGATAGGTGATTGTTAGATTGCTACGGTCAATCCATGGTATAGACTAAAAGAATTCTCAAAATTAATGGTGCATACTGAATGGTGATTGATATGAATTCCTGCAACAATGTACGTATAAAGTTGTTAATTCCTTGGGCAAATTATACAGTTGAGTATATGGACTCCGTACTAAGGTCGTTTGACTCCCAAAGAGAAAAATGTTACCATTTGTCAAGACGCCGGTACCGTACAGAAACCATATCTGACAAATATAGTTCTCTCCCACCAATTAAAGCTACGAATGCAAAATACTCTCCAATTCCAGTTAGTCGAAGTCGAAACACTTTCCACATAGGTAAGCCACGTTTCTACTTTTTTGGTGCTAAAAGATAGTTCTAACGCTCAATAAACTTTCATAAGATTATAATACAGGTAAGAGTTATGCCATTAAACATCCAGAATCCGATCTATACATTTCATGTTCGCAAAGATTCCGCAAATATTTCATAACGGATCAAGTTAAAGCCCAACAACATAAATATTGCAATCAGTTGCAGCATCCACCCCTCTGGACAACAGATCCATCTGCTGCACCTTGCGGACGTCCATACCCCACCTTGATGCCAGATGACTGCAATCACACAAATTTCACAATTTAACAAGTACCTAGAGAGGCAGAGAGATGGACAGTGCAGCTATTCCAATTTAAGGGAAATTAAATGGAATCAATTCAAACTAATATTATGATAATCTCTACTCCCTTCAGTAGAAATGAGCGACACCACTCTTCATTAGAAATGATCTATACATGAACCCTTGAAGATGTGCAAAATCCTTGAAGAAATAGGCAACTTAAGAAATAATCCCTACTACAAATGCAAGTGAAACCGTACTTTGTAGGTTATATATTTTCTCAGCAACACTAGCATTACAGGCATGTTACCTGGTGGCTACCACATATGAATCTTAACCCAGCTTCAGAGTTAAATATACTTAAGCAGAAGTTTCAAATGTGTAATCCCATAGAGGGTAGTACAAAATTAAGTTGATGAAATGGTGCTCACCTCATTCGATACATCAAACACACCTTCCTGAATCTTCTGAAGGATCTTTGCAGCAGTCTTTATGAATGCCTGCAAGAATTCATCTACAGGGTCAAGCTAAAAGGAAACTTCTCTTAGAAAATTAATTTCCAGTTCTTGAAAACATGATGAAAGTGCTCAAGGAAAGATTTTGGTAGAAAATTATCACCTCTTCAACATTTTGAGCAGTTCTTGCAGAAGCCTCCAGAAACAATAGACCATTTTCTTTTGCAAATTGTTCACCCTCCTCTTTACTAACAGCTCTGCGGTGCGCCAGGTCACTCTTGTTACCAATGAGCATGATAGTCATATTAGGATTTGCATGCTGCTTAGCATCCTCCAGCCAGCTAGCCAGGTGATTAAATGTCTCTCTCCTACAGTGATGAGAGGCTTTGATCATGTGCCAAAAGATACAAAATTGTAGAATACTACAACTCTTTTATCAGTTGAAGATGATGCTCCAAAACAGTTGCATTCTCTCTTTATCCCCATCATCTTATCCATTTCCTTTTATCCATCATTTGGAATTAACAGTGAAAAGGTATTAATCTGTATAGGTCTCTGTTCTTAGGTATTTGTATGTGTACTGATCAGGAAAACAGCATTCAATTCATGCAACATGTACTGTTGTATGCGAAATTGAGGGTTGCATGTTCTTTTAGATGCTGAAAGGAGGGTTCTAGCATTAATATTTTGTTTACTTTCATCAAGAATTGGTTGGGGGAGGGTGCTCAAGGTCGCCTGAAGCTGCACTATTCAACAAGGTTTTCATAGTTTTGTAGCTGAAATAGAGTCTTAGATTTTAAGACAACTCTAGCAGCATAAGTGTCAATTTTATGTGGTGGGTGAGGCTTTGATGTGGCCTAGGCTGGAGTTTGGCAGCAGATTGTGGCTGTTTCAGCATTGTGAAGGAAAAGGGAGAAGGAAGAACACTCCCCACACACCCAAAAAAAAAAAAAGACATTTACTGATTGGGTGGGTGTGGGTGGATTGAATATTTTTTCTCCGTGAACTTTCATAATGGAACCATTAATGATCTATTTATCCTTTTTCATACCTCTATTTAAGGCTATCTGCTCAAAATGAAACTTGGTCTAGACATCAAAGTAGCATACATAACTGCATTTAAATATTAACTATTAAACGCAGAAAAGTTCCTCATTCCATTTTGTAGACTTCATTCAAAAAAGTCAAAGAAGAATATGAAATAATCCTCCAACCTTATGATGGTAGAAAACCAGCAGGTAAGTTAATGATAACAAATGAGAAACTGAAGAAGGTAATAAACAGATGGAAACTAACTCAGGCAAAGTATTCACAAAAATGTTCCAGAGGCATATACATTAGCTTACCTAGTAATATCGTAAACCAGCAGCGCACCTGCAGCTCCTCTGTAGTATGATCTGGTGATGGACCTAAATGACTCTTGCCCTGCCTGAAATAAATCAAGAAGTACTTGGTCAAATGAGAAGGCCAATGCAGATGTAAAATTCACTTATAGCTATGAACCAACTAGTGAAAACTGAGAATCTACAATGATGATAGAGAGACAAATGAACAAGGATATACTCAGAAATTCAAAAGTGGATTCGAACACATGAAAATGGACAAGCTAGATAACAAAAAGGAACAAGAAAGAATGCATTACTTTAGCACGATATCAAGGAATTATCCAATCTTATCTAGTAGAAACAAACACTACTGCAATTACTAACAAAGGAAAAATGCCAAAAGTGGTATGTTTCTTAAAATCATCCTTGGAAGTCATGGATATCATATCTATAGTGTTCAGTTCAAAACTTTCTCTATTGGCCAATGATATTACGATTGCACCACAAATATTTTCACAGAATAAAGGAGAATCAAGTCCATATGGTAAAGTCAACAAATCAGACTAATCATACCTACTAAAAGCATCCCATCCGTCTACCAATCAAAATAACAGCAGGATCTTTTTCTGTCCTTTCGCCAGGTGCATTGTTCCTATCTAATGCCCTTCATCCTTTTCCCTAATTGGCAAGGGAAATCACGCATTGGGTTTCAAAAGTGTAGCATATTCTTTTCCTACCAACAATGGTTTACCGTAACAAATACATGCCTTTTTTTTTTGGGTTTTTCTGACAAACACATGCTAGCACTATTACTATGATTGTCAAGAAATGCAACATATTATCCAATTTTAGTCATAGAATTGTCAGTTGCAAAACAAGCATTAGCATCAATACCAATTAGAAAAACACAACTACGATTAATAAATCATTTAAGCCTCAAAATGATAGAAATTTACTTGCCAATTAAAACTACCATATTCAGTATTAACTAAAACAACATATTCCACAAAAAAAAAAAGAAAGAAAAAAAGCAAATTGAAAACCATAGGATTAAGGCGTGACAATAAAAGATGAAAGCAAAAACAAGAAGAAATAAAAGAAATGGAATTGCTTACATACAGTATCCCAAATCTGGAGCTTTATAGGCCTGCCATCAATGGTAACCATTCGGGCACCAAATTCCACTCCTATAGTAAGATCGTGCACCGGCTGAAACCTCTTGTCCGTGAATTGCAACAACAAACATGATTTCCCCACTCCTGAAAATTTTTCAGACAACAAAAAAGTTAGGGTTTTTCAGAGCAAAAAAAAAAAAAAAAAAAAAAAAACTAACAAGGAGTTGATAATAGTAGTACAAGTAAATTAATATACCAGTGTCTCCGATGATGATATATTTGAAGAGATAGTCGTAAGACATCTTCGGTGAAGGAGGCGGTTCAGAATTTTTGTTTGTGGTGGTGGAATGGGAACTAAGAGACAAGAGTTTGAAAATTGGAGAGGGGTCCGAGGGGAGATGCTGAAGAAAGAAAAAACGGATATGGGAAGATATATAGAGATGGATAGAGGCGATGATGAAATGTTGACGACGATGGTTGATGCCTGTTGTCACCGACACGTCAAAGCTTCTTGCTCTAAGAATTCGTGACATGGAGGGAGAGGCTTTAAATATGGTATATTAAAATTCCATTAATTAATTAGAATCGCATGTATGGATTCAGCAAAATTGTATTCCATATCTTAATCAGTGACCAAGTCACTTATAGGATAGGATCGGGTATAGGGTGATCTAACTTTCTCATTAGAAAAAAGAAATTAGATTAACAAATCAAGCAATATACTCCCTCCCTTTTTTTTATAACTGACGTCTAAGAAATTTGCTCTTAAGTACTTTTATCTGTCATTTTATTATCCCCATGCAGCATTAATTATTTTTTCACAATTTTACCCTTTTATCTCTCTTTTCATAATTGGTGGAAGTTAGTTTGCATTGCTTTTGGCCTAGTAAAACAGCACCATTTAATACTCTAGTGAGAGAAAATATGAGTGAATTGGACAATTAATGAGGGTACAAAAGGAAAGTAGTGTATAGATTTAAACAATGAAAAACTTTTCTTAATTGGTGTGCAAAACCTTAAACGTCAGTTATAAAAAAAGGGAGGGAGTATTATTTTTCCAGATCAATAAGAGTATTTAATTCTCCAACTCTAAAAAATTACGAACAAAATAGGAAATGAAAATACATTAGATATAAATTACTGAATATTCTGAACATTTATTTTCGATTTCTGTATTTCTTGAAAACTATCAATTTATTTTTAATAAGAATGATAAGTTACTCCATAACCAAACATTTAAGTTTTAAAAATTAAAAACAAAATAATTAGTAGAGCGATGAAGTGATTGGAGCTTATGAAAAATGAAAAGAAGTTTTGAAAAAAGACAAAAAAAAAA